TATATATATATTAAATTAAAGCTTATGTAATATAATTTATTTTGAAAAAAAAAAATTTGACCTCTGGACTTGTCTTCGTGGTGAAAACGGACATCAAAGTTAAAGAAGAACGTACGATTTCCGTGAAAAAATTCTCGATTTTATATTTTATATTATTAAATTTATATTGCTATAACTTTTGGAGAAATATATAGATCAATATTATTATTTTTTATAAATAATTTTTATATACTACTTTCATCTGACACACTTTTTTTGTAAATCGGATCATACCCCTTTATACAATGAGGGTCAAAACTTTAAACATTCTTATTGAAACTAAGACATTTTCAATTTAATTTTTGAAAGTATTCCGGAAATACTGACACTTTTATATATATCTTAAATTAAAGCTTATGTAATATACTTCAATTTAAAAAAAAAAATTTGACCTCTGGATTTGTCTTCATGGTAAAAATGACTACCGTATTCAAAAATTTGTTATTTTTGTGTTAAAATTCTGGGTTTTGTATTTTATTTTATTTTAAAATACCTGACAAGGGGAATACAGATTTTCATAAATATTATATAAATTAAAATTAATGTATCATAGAAAGTTCAACTTATTTAAATTTGTTTGCTTCTTTTAAGTCAAGAAAAATAACTTTGAAATTTGATCTAGCTTAAATAAACAATTTTTTCAAGTGATGGTATCGACGTACGGTTGCCGAGTTAGTAAAATTAATGTTTTACGCGCTCGAGGTACGAGGTCCAACCCGCGTATGGCAATGAATTTTTTGCCTTTTTTCTTAATTCTTTTTAGTTAGTATAAATTTTTAACTCGTTTGATTTTTATCTCATTTAGATTCAATAACTTCAATAAAGATCACGGATCCCATAATTTTAGTCGCCCCTTGTAAGAAGAAATTTCTTATTCGTATTAAAATTATTTTACTATATTTTAAGTTTTAGCTTCGATGCAAAGCTGAGAAGATATATTTTTGTGACTATCATTTATTTTCTCTGCTCTAACTTGACCTACTTTTTTCAACGATACGTCAAATGACTACAATTCGTATCCAGTTGAAGATATTACCCTCAAAAATTGAAAAAAAATTTCAATTTATCAATTAAACAGTTAGTTATTCCATGTTCACCATAAAGACAATTAAAATTAAGTTTGATATGATAGGTTTCAACTACAAAATTTAATCATTTTACTTTGTAATTTAATAATTTTTTTACTTTATTTGTGTGTGCTACTACTAGACTATAATATTACAAATTTTTTTGTTGCTATATAAATCATTTCTAAAAAAAATGATTGTTTTTTCTCCTGAATTAACAATTGATTTTTACAAATATAATCAAATTTTATAATACACTCAATTGAGTAAATCTTTTTAACAACTTTGTTTTGATTGGTACATTTAGTTAAAGTAAATCATTAAAATTAATTAAGTTTTCAATATTTTTGTAAAGTTGATTTAGAATAGTATATTTTTGTTTCTGATGAAAGTTCCTTGTAGTCCAGTGTATAAAACTTATTACTTTGTTAACTGTTATAACTTTATCAAAAATGAGCAAATCAGTAATTTTTTTTTTTATTTAGATGCATGTTTTTATCTATCATTTGGTTTTTTTTTATAAATCTAACCCTTTACCTACCCACAAGAGGGATTCAAAATAATAACTTTTTTTTTTTAGTTAAAGTAAATCATTAAAATTAATTAAGTTCTCAATATTTCAATTATAGAATCTTTTCAACAAACAACAAAAGTTCCTAGGAAATTATTACTATTACTTCTATTTAAGTTATCTATTACCATAAAAATGCAAAAAAATATTGAGCTTTTCTGATAAATTTACAATAAATAGTAATTATAAAACTTTCTGACTGCATATTGATCTTAACGATACAATTTTTTTAATTGTCATAAAATTTTCTATTTAATTATGTCAATGTCAAACTTACCAATTGAGCTAAAAGTTATGGTAAAATAAATTTTTTTTTTTTTTTATAAACATTTACAACAATCAACTTTAAACGATTAACAAAATTGGTTAAATATGTCATTTTCCTTATTTTTAACTTATTAATAATCAAATTAATATTAAATATTATATCAAATCAGTATTAATTTAAAACAATTTTTTTTGTTCTTAATTATTTTTTTTTATATGTAAAAACTATTTTTTAATAATATTAAAACTTAGAAGTTATAGAAAAAGTCTAATTGCACATTTTAAAACATCGCGAAAAGTTGATTTAGAATAGTATATTTTTGTTTCTGATGGAAGTTCCTTGTAGTCCAGTGTATAAAACTTATAACTTTGTTAATTGTTATAACTTTATCAAAAATGACCAAATCAGTATATTTTTTTTTATTTAGATGCATGTCTTTATCTATCATTTGGTTTTTTTTATAAATCTAACCCTTTACCTGCCCACAAGAGGGATTCAAAATATTAACTTTTTTTTTTTTAGTTAAAGTAAATCATTAAAATTAATTCAGTTCTGGATATTTCAATAGTAGAATCTTTTTAAATATCAAAAATTACTTAGAAATGATTACTATGATTTCTATTTAAGTGTTCTATTACTATAAAAATGCAAAAAAATAATGAGTTTTTCTGATAAATATACTGTAAATAGTAATTATAAAATTTCCTGACTGCATATTAATCTTAAAAATAACATTGTTTTAATTCTCATAAAATTTTCTATTTAATGATTCATTCTAGTCAACGAAGGAGTAATTTTGCAGAATAGCAGAAAAAATTCCCAACAAACTTTTTTTTTTTTT